AGTGAAAGTCATGGAACAATTTGATTTTTTCATTCAATAATTCATAAACATGTTTTGTGATATTGTTGATAATCCCTGCAATATAAGAACACTTTTCCCATTTACTCCTTGTGTTTTCCATTCCCATTTGTATTTTGTTCCTACCCCTTCATGTCCTCTGAGCTTTATCCCTGGGAGAAGACTGCCCTTTCGATACTTTTTTGGAGTGCTACTTCCCTGGGGTCTGTTTTGCTGAAAGTTGAACCACAGAGTGTGTTCAGTTCCAGGCTTGAAGGGTAACTAAGAGTCAGGGTCTCGGGAGTGTGGTTCCACGTTTTATTTCATGTTTCCTCCCACTCTATCCAGGACTGCCTATGGCGATCCATTTCAGAAAGGTCAACAGCAATAGCCAGGTGCCAGGCACCATCTAGTCCTTCTGGTCTCAGAGATTGGTTTTCACACGGTCCATTAATCCCGTAATTATTTCCTTGAATGTGGTCTTCTTCATTCAACTTTGCTCTGAATGGGGAGACTCCAATAGTTTCACCTTCAATAGATGCTCACATCTTTTATTACTCCATTTGCTACTCAACAAAGTAGGATGTGGAGCATTGCCTTTGTGGACTATAGTGTATGCCAATTCACCCCTGCTCTCCCATGAGACAATGATCCTGAGACCCCCAAGCCCAATGAAACATTCCTTTAAGGTGCTTCATTATGAAAAGAATTTTTATAACTTTGCACCCTGATATGCCATACCATATTCATGAACATAGTTGCAACAAATACCAATATATATGTAGAAACAGCCTCTGACAGACCTATATATTTTCTTAGTTACAGTCTCCCCCTTTTAAAACATATATTCTCACCCAGTAATGTTATTTTTATTTAAATTAGGTTCAGCTGTATCCTGAAAGACAGTGCTACTGAAACATTGCCAAAGGTGAATATGTCAGGAGCCACTTCTGGATATTCTTTCAAACAATGCTCACATCAAATAAGTGGTAAGGTCACCCACTTGAATTAATCAATACTAGTGACTGTGCTACATTAGCTTTGTACATAAGATGTAGTTTTCGAGCTATGAAACAAAACTCTGCTATATGGAAATAAACTCCTCTAATGAAGCTCTTTCTGTGTGAAGTAAAAATTAGCATTGATGCATGCTTCCCCCAACACACACACACACACACACAAAATGAAACCCAAAGTCCTTGCTACTGACTCTATTCTGACTCACAGCAATCCCGTAGGTCAGGGTAGAACTGTCTCTGTGGGCTTGTGAGACTGTGACTCTTTATGGGACAGGAAAGCCTTGGCTTTCTCCTGAGGAGCCATCAGTGGTTTAGAACTGCTGGCTTTATGGAGAGCAGACCAATGCATGACCACTATGCCACCAGGGTGCCTATAGTTTCCTAGCTTTGCTTTACCTCACAGAAGGACAACTCCTACTACCTCACATCTCATTTGTTTATCTTTTCCCAATCTGAAATTACAAGAAAGACTTTATTAAATTCATCAATTCAAATAAAAGGGAGCAAATATGTGTCATGCTACCACTTGACATAGTGAGTCCATCAGCGGAGTTCAGGGAGAGACTGCGGCGGAACATCAAACAGGATTGTATGTCTAATATTGCTGCATCATATGAAGGCCGTTGGCATTGTGTGCCTCCTTTCCTGTAAGGGGTGGGGTTGAGCAGGTCGAAGCCAAACAAAGCAAGCCCTCCCCTCCCCCCTCTCTCCCCCGCTCCAGGGGGAAGTGAGTGAGAGTTAGATGAATATGTGAGGAGGAACCTTTGGGAAGGTAGAACCAGAGGATTGATCCCTGGCTGAAAACTGTAATTTTTGCCTTTATTTCTAGTTTGCAACAAAGATATTTATGTGGATCTAGACATGAAGGGCATGAACTATAATGGCTCTATTTCCCAATCTGTTCACGAATGTCAAGAGAGATGCACAAATGACATTCACTGCCACTTCTTCACATATGCCACCAGGAGCTTTCCCAGTGTGCAGCATCGGTGAGTGAGTTTACCTAACCTGAGAATACCATGTGATGGGTGTCCAAAGAAAAGCAAAATAGTGATTCACTTAAAAAAATAAAATAGGGTAATCCATGTGATGCTAAAACTTACATTTTTAACTCTAAAAGACTTTTCCATAATAGCTACTCACAGGTTCCTCATAAAAATTCCACTTAAAACCAAGTTTTAACTTGGATGTGTTGATGTTCTTTTAATGCACTGTTACCCCAAAAAAGGGTGTTAAAACATTTCCTAGCTAATTTCAGAACTGCTATACTTTTAATTGGACAGTTTTGAAAGCACCTAGTTAGTCTGCTTGCTCCTTTTCCAGCCGGCTAACAGGAAAGAGTAAGAAATCAAAGCTTAACAGCCTAACACTGGAGAGTAAAAACCCAAAACCCCTGTCTCTCTGTCCCCCAGTAGCAGTTCTTTAACAAAGACAAAACAACTGAAACAGGTGTAAGATTTCTTACTCTGCCCTACACTGATTTTTGGCAAATTCCAAGAATAAATTAATTGTTTACAAATTTTAAATGATCTAATTTCTAATTACTAGGATTTGTTATGACAATCTATTTTTTTTTCTGCTAAGACTGATTTTAAATGTTTGGGATTTGAATAAGGAGGCCTGACTCCACAAATGTTAAGAACTTGGCTGCTAATCAAAAAGGCTGGAGGTTCAAGCCACCCCCCACCCGCCTTGGTTCTGTGGGAACAAAGGCCCATCAAGCCCTGTCCATTTGCTCCTGTAAAGATTGCAGCTGAGCAAACCAGGTGCGGTGGAGACTCGCTCTGAGTCAGAACCTATCTGACAGCACCCAACCAAAATAACAACAGGGGTGAATAGTAAATGACATTTAGCTAAAATACACAAACAAGTGAAATGAGTTCAAATTACTAGCATCTGAATTTTGAATGGACAGTTTGACAGTCTGCCTTTCACGTGCACAAGCCGGTAAAGTGAACAACAAATAGATCTATCAAAGATTTATTCCTAAAACAACCATGAGAGAACTAAACAAATCTCCTGAATCTGTTCCTCTTCCATCGCTCTTCTTTTGCTCGGCTCAAATGACCTCTGTGTCATTTGAGATGATACAGTGTGAGCACAAACTAAGGAATGGTAGTTTCTAAGCACTGTAAAAAAATATTAAAATTAAGATGTTAAACCTGAAAACGGCTTACGAAGTCATCAGTTCATCATGTGACTGCCCTCTGAAGCTGCCAGGTTATTGATGGAGAAAATCAATTTAACTGAGTTCACGTGGACACTTGATAGTGCGTGTCGGCCTGGGGCTCAAGGTCAGTCCTCTGGCCTCTGACTTAGGCCAGCTTTCCTGGGCAATCCTGACCGTGGCTGTGTCCAGTGCAGGACTGGGCAGTGCTTCTTTCCGCTGTGCGTGCGGTCACTTTGTGTGGGTGCAGACTCCCACTGGCCTAACCGCAGCACAAGGAGGAACTGCACACGGCAAGGGATTTTCAGGCCCAAGGGATCTCTCTAAATGTGAATTTCTGTTGATTCGTGTCTTTTCCCACTTATTGGAAGGATTTTTAAACGTTTCTTTTTGTTGTTGTTTTGTTTTCTACTTCAGCAACACTTGTCTGTTAAAGTACTCCCCAACGGGAACACCAACCAGCATAAGGAAGAATAACGGAGTGGTATCTGGATTTCCATTGAAATCCTGTGGGCTTTCCAATCTGGGTAACTATTGCTTTCTTAATGAGGCGGGTTAACCATCGACGTGTAGGTGCTGCAGATATGTTTGGGAACTCTAACTTGGGATACCATGCTATGTTCACTGCTGAAATATACACAATGGGCGTTTACCTTCTGAGTGTGATACATTCCGTATTTATATGTTACAAATCTTGCACTAAACAAGCTTCTTCGTATGGGCTTCTCAAGACTGTGGCTCGGATGTGACTGGTCTTGTTGGATGATGGATTTCATCACGTTCTTTTCCTCTTACACAGCCTGTATCAGGGACCTTTTCCCCAGAACGGGCTTTGCGGATAGAAACATTGACAGAGTCTTGGCTCCAGATGTTTTCGTGTGCCGTCACATTTGCACCCATCATCCCAATTGCTTATTTTTCACCTTCCTTTCCCAAGAATGGCCAAAAGAATCTGAAAGGTAAGGGGTTAAGATTAAGAATAATTTCTTGTCTTTCAAAACTGGCAGCTCATCAGGGTGCAGTGTAGCAAGGATGAAACATACACCTTTCTTCTGGTCCTTTAATGCTTCCTTCCCCCCACTATCATGACCCTAATTCTACCTTACAAATCTGGCTAGACTAGGACATGTACACGGGTACACATAAGAGCTGGAAACACAGGGAATCCAGGACAGATAAACTCCTCGGGACCAATATTGAGAGTAGCTGTACCAGGAGGGGAAGGGGAAAGTGGGGGGAGAAAGGAGGAGCCGATCACAATGACCTACATATAACCCCTCCCAGGGGGATGGACAACAGACAAGGGGGTGGGGGGAGACATCAGACAGTGCAAGACATGAAAAAATAATAATAATTTGTAAATTATCAAGGGTTTGTGAGGGAGGGAGGGAAGGGAAAGGAGGGGAAAAAATAAGGAGCTGATACCAAGGGCTCAAGTAGAAAGCAAATGTTTTGAAAATGATGATGGCAACAAATGTACAAATGTACTTGACACAATGGATGGATGGATGGATTGTGATAAGAGTTGTATGAGGCCCCAGTAAAATATTTTTAAAAGAAAAAAAATATTAAAAAAAAAAATCTTCAGTGGAGATTTTTTTTAAAAGTTGATTCTAACTCAGAGCAACTCAAGAGTCAGAGCATAACCACTCCCTAGGGTTTCCAAGGAGATCAATCCTCATAGGAGCAGACAGCCTCGTCTCCTCCTGAGGAGTAGCTGGTGAGTTCGAACTGTTGGCTTTGTGGTTAGTAGCCCAATGGGTAGCGCACTCCACCTGTAACAAGGGAGTGGTGGGGCAGGCAGCCCGGAGTCTGAGAAGTGAAATTCTGTTTTTCTACTGATGAGCACTAGCATGGGAACCAACAATAAAGCAAGGAAAGTTTTTGGTTAAAAATAAACAAATCTACGGCCTTTCATAAGTAAGATTCATCCTAAAAAGAAAATAAGCATAAGACAAACCAAGCCAGCTACAAGATCTGGATTTCTAGATAGTAACCTGGACCTGAATCCTCAGAGCCCTAGTACCTGCTTGACTTGGCTGCCCATTGTTAGGGAAAGGGTTCCGGAGCGATCCAGCTAAGGGGAACTCTTGAGTTCCTTATTCAACCACTGAGAGAGGCTGTAATTTCAAAAGCCCTAGCCCTGTCATGCTCAGACATACCTGTAACTTTCACGGACTCAACACATTCAGTGCTTTACCATTACAGGGTTTCCATGGAGTCTGGGGGTTTACACAGTGAAGGCTAACGGAAAGATCACCAGCTGCTCCATGGGAGAAAGATGACGTTTTGGGTTTCTGTAATGATTGACAGCCTTGGAAACCCACAGGTGTAGGTCGACCCTGTCTTACAGAGTCACTGGAAGTTGAAATCCACTCAAAAGCAGCGAGTTTGTTTGTTGGATTTTTGTGTATGTCAGGCGAGGAGCACTGGTGGTGGGCTTAAGGTTGACATCTCAAATCTAGCATCCAGAGCAAGGAAGACAGACGAAGCTGCCTGCTTCTGGAAAGATTTACAAAGCCTCAGAGGCCCTATCGACATTTGCCCGGAGTTGGAATTGACTCGATAGCCCTGGAAGCCCTGGGCCAGAGGTTAAGCACTTGGCAGTTCCAACCTGTCAGATGTTCCATGGGAGAAAGATGTAGCAGTTTGTTCCCATAAAAAAAAAAAAAAAAGATTACGGAAACCCTTAGCAGCAATTCTCTTGTATCCTATAGGGTGACCATGGGTAAGAAAAGGCTCGATGGCAATGGGCTTGGGTTTGGTTCGGATATGCTAGGAACCTTTTGAAACACTAAGGATATTGAGGGCACTATAAGCGAAATAGATTAAACTTTTAAAAAGAGAAACCTTGCCCCAGTGGAAGTCATGGTATTGTGGGAGACATAAACAACGAATAAAATTTGAACCGTCCTACAGTAAGTTCGATGGTGACAAAACCTATGAAGTAATAGAGAAGGGGAGACAGACTTTTAGGGAGATTATATAAGTTTTTCATTCTTAAATAGAGAGTTCAGATAACACTTCACTAAACTGATGACATTTGTTCAGACATCTAAGTGAAGTAAGGAAGCAAATCTTCAAGGGGAAAAAACCTGCTGCAGAAGCGTTAGGTTCTGAGGCAAACTCCTTCCAAGAAAGCCTGGCCAAGGAGACTCCGGTGGCTGGAGTGGAATGAGGAGAAAGGAGCCTCATAAGACCACATGCCAGACAGCATGGGGCAGGAGAACAACATGGAGAACCCTGTAGGACGAAGCACTGTAGGCTTCTTCCCTCGTTAGATGGGAAGTCACCATGAGCAGTGGGGTAACGTGAATGGGGAAACGCACGCTAACGTGCCGAGATGAGACTGGTGGTAAGACTCTTCCAAAACTCCAGCAGCAAGAGTTAATAATTGCTTGAAGCTGAGTGGAGGGACTAAATCGAGAAGATTGAGATTTATTGACAAGGTAGAGCCAGTCAGATTGTTGATGAATCAGCTGTGAGAAGTGAGGAAAAGATTAAGAAACGGCTCTAAGATTCTTGCTCCTAAAAAAAAGAAAAGCGATTTTTGGCCCTAAGAATGGAGAGCATGGAGGTGCCCTGACGGAGGTGCAGAAGATTATATAAGGAACCGGTTTTGTGGCTAAGATCAGGAGTCATGTTTTGGAAAGATTAATTGAAGATATCTATTAGACGTCTGGTTTGGGTGATTAGACATGTAAGGAGTCTTGGTGAAGCTAACCAAAATGTTGGCGGTTCCAACCCACAAGCTGCTCCACAGGGTTCAAACGGGGCAGTCTGCTCCGTACAGACTGCGGCCATGGGAACCCCGTGAGGAAGCGCTATTCTGTCCTTCCAGGTTGCTGTCAGTTAGACTCAATCTCACCGCATTGGGTTTGGCTTTCATGGGCTGTTCAGGGAGAGATGTTGAACTGGCCATTGCAAAGGAAGGTCTGGAACTCCAGAGAGGTTTGTGCCTTCCATTTGTGTCTCAGTGTCTACAGCAGGTAACGAAAACCAGGAGAAGGGATGAAATCATCAGTGAATTGAATACAGTTAAAATGAAAAGACGATCCCAAGCCGAGCCTCAGGGCATCCTAAAGTTCAACACGGTCAAGATGCTTCCGTAACTTGTTTTTATTATGTATCAGTCACTGCTCCTCTTTCACTGATTCCTTTGTACAAAACTGCCAATCATTATATGAGGAGAAGCACGGGTGAGTCTCGCTGCCAACTGTGATAGGAATATGGCTGCTTTAAGTCCCGTTTTGACTATTTAAATTAAATGAAAAGAACAACTCATTTGCTTAGTATCCCCAGCCACATTTCCAGTGCTCAATAGTCATACGTAGTAAGTAGCTACTGAGCACCAGAAATGTGGACTGCCATATAGTACTGCCAGGGAGGGGGGGTGTCCTTGAGTGCAGAAAGTTCTATCAGACCCCCCTGCTGTGGACCATTGCTGTGTGCTGATTCACCCCAATGACTCCCCTCTAAGCAAATGCTACCTTTGCTGCAGCCACCTTCGGTGGATTTCTAGGTAACATTGAAATCAACGAATCCTTCAGGGAGAATGGGAGTCCTGAGAGGAAGGATGCTAGAAACGCTGGCAAAGTAGCAGGCTCGGGAAATGTTTGTGAGTCACAAGGTTTCCTTTGGAAATCGTGCCTGCGGGTTGTGATGCCTGGAGGCTGACTGCTTCGTGAAGAATATTTACAACATGAGACACTCGCCACGGCGACAGGCCATTATGAGTATGTTAACATGCGAAAAGAGTATGTACACATTAAAGATTTAGGGCCCAGTTATAACTAGGCATACAGTATGTATTTACGCCTTTTATATTTGTGGTGGCAGGGTGTCGTGGAGTCGGTTCTGCTGCAGAGCGAGCCGGGCCCAGCAGAAGGAAGTATTGGCACATCCTGCTTCATCCGCTCGGCGGGGCTTAGGTGTGGGCCCATGGCTGCAGCCACTGCGGCAGTCCGTCTTGTTGAGGGTCTTCCTCTTGTCGTCGCCCCTGCACTTTTCCAAGCCTCAAGTAATTGTTGATAATTTTGTTAAAAAAAAGAAAAAGAGAGAGAAGACAAAGAAGAAGAGCAGTGATTGATACAAAATTTAAAAATCATGAAAGAACCTTTACATACTTGAGGGCCTTCCTCTTTTTCGATGCCCCCCCACTTTACCAAGCATGATGTCTTTCTCCGGGACTGGCCCCTCCTGACTATATCCAAAGTATGTGAGACAAAGTCTCGGCATCCTTGCCTCTAAAGAGCACGCTGACCTTACTTCTTCCAAGCCGGATCACGCCGTCCTTTTAGCAGTCCATGGTCTTTTTAATATTCGTCTCCAGCATCGCAATCCAAACGCACCAATTCTTCCTCAGTCTTCCCTATTCAATGTCCAGCTTTCACATATATGTAAAAAGTCCCGTTTTTTTCCTGTTAGAAATCTTTGTCTTCTGAAATCATCGCAAAGTGGACTACCAACTGCTCCCTATCAGAAGGACAATGCGTTTTCTGGTTTCAGTCTTCAAAACTGCCGGCACAGCGTCCCAGGTAGACATTGGAAGCACTTCCTTCTGATTGGGGTCCACCAATCCTGAGGGGGGTAGATGAGCGCTCAGGGTGCTTGTCTCACATACGATGTGTGGTTTGTTGTCTAGTGTTGTGCCATTCTTCATTTTACCATGACACGGACTTCTTGGGAGAAGAGCTGGACATTGTGGATGTGGAAGGACATGAAGCCTGTCAGAAAATGTGCACCGATACTGTCCGCTGCCAGTTTTTTACCTATTCCTCACCTCAAGAACCTTGCAACAGAGGAAAGTAAGACCAATGAAGGGTTCTAAAGACGCCCCTGTCTCTTCCCTTAGCAGAGAAGTTATGTTTATTACATTTGTTTCCTGCCTGCAGGGGTCAGTGTTACTTAAAACTGTCTTTGAATGGATCCCCAACTAAAATACTTCATGGAAGAGGAGGCATTTCTGGATACACATTAAGGTTATGTAAAATGGATAATGGTGAGTACTATGTGATGTTTAACAAGTATTTCTGAGGAGTTATTCTATTGAAGTGTATCATTACTGAGATATATATCTTGGAAGAAGCCCAGCCAGAGTGCTCCTTAAAAGCAAGGATGGCCAGGCTGTGTCTCGCGTACTTTGGACATGCTGTCAGGAGAGGCCAGCCCCTGGAGAAGGACATCAGGAAGCTTGGTAAAGTGGAGGGGCAGCAAAAAAGAGGAAGCCCTCAACAAGACAGACTGGCACAGTGGTTGCAATGACGGGCACAATTGTGAGGATGGTCCGGGACCTGGCAGTGTTCATTCGGTTGTGCAGATTGCCATGGGTCAGAACTGACCCAAAGGCACCGGACAACAAGATGACACTCACAATGAGGAGAAAATTCATTAAATTTAGAGGGCATTTTCTGTCCCGCCATCCAGGCTGATCATGGTCTACGAGTGAGAGATTGGGTCCTGAGTGAACACTACCTTGCTCAGGTAGGATGGAGGCAACATGTACCTGAAATTCTCCACATTCACACAGCTGGCATTTGAGAGTTACATCCAAATTCTACTGTCGATTTGTGTGGTTAAGATCAAAGATCTTTGTTACCATCCTTTATCATTTAAATATCAACCTGCACCTTGGTTATAAAAACATACATTTTCAAAAATATATATGTACATTTTCTTCACGCTGTTATATGTGATCATTACTTGAAGAACAAATAGCCTTTGTGTGCTAAAAAATGATTAAACTACTCAAGAAATATTGGAGTGATTCATTCACAGGGGCCTTACTTCTTCATATTCCCTACAGGGTTCTACATATTTACGGCTATTGGTCAAAACCACAGTGAAGAGAACCATGAATCTATAACACTGGGGGTGGAAGGATAGAAATAGAATGGTTGACTAGGTTGAGACCTCTAGTAACAAAAAGTACAATAAAAGTCACATCCGCAGAGCTTCCATCCCAGTGTCCAGTCTGAGAGCCGTGGTGAGGATCGTTCCTAGGTAAGTAAAATCCTCCTACGGGACAGAAACCTCAACAGGAAAGAAGTTACCACTCCTCCCTTAGTGTTGACAATGACCTATTGTGGCTTTAGGATTGAATGCCTTACATAAAGCCACATGGTTTTAGATAACAGTTGTTTAATATTCAATATTATAATATACTATCAATAAGATGGAACTGAGATAGAAAGGATACAATGGAAGTGATCGCCTTTGTGATAGTTTTATAAATATAAACGTCATTTGCACCAGCATCATTTGCTATACTGGGAAGCTGAACAACTCTTGACTTCTGAGGACTTGTCATGTAAAGCATCTATACGCTAAATTGTGTTCAAAACGAATATCCTTGCTTGGAAGCTCTATCTTCTTAGGGGTTAGAGGTACTCTGCTAGGAATCTTTGTATGGCCCAACCCTCTGGAAAAACCAATGTCATCGTATCTCACATGAGTTGTACACACACACACACACACACACACACACACACACACACTAAAACAAGAGGAAGCACTCCTCCCAAAAAGTGTTGTCTTAGTTCAACTTTTAGGTTGAAGACACAACTGGTTTTAGAAGAGACACAACTAGTTTTGTTGTGAGGACGCTGACACAGGTTGGAAGATGAGGCCAGCATGTGCTGCTTAATCAACTGAAGACTGCATTTTCTCCTTCCTTCTTTTAGCGTGCTCTCTTCCGTTGCATTTGTCGGTTCTGGCCCTAGAGGTCACAGAGCATATTAGGCTTAGATTGGTGGCTGCAGCAGTCAATATAAGCTATTGGAAAATAAAACCTTGTGGCTTTTAAGTGAACCTTTTGAATTAGATGAAACTAGAAAGGCAGCCAGACATTAAATGCTTACTCTCTGTTGGATGAAATAATATACTCTCTATTGGTGAAGGAATATTACTTGAGATGTTACTTTTGTCTTTTTTTAAAAAGGCTTGTACAGCTCTTATCACAAACCATAGATACATCCATTGTGTCAAGCTCATTTGTACACGTGTTGCCATCGTCATTTTCAAAATATTTTCTTTCTGCTTGAGCCCTTGCTATAGCTCCTCGGTTAACTGTACCTTGTACTGTCATTAGTCCACTATATAACCAAACTCAAAATTAATGCTATGGGGGTATTTTCAGTATTTGGGGTAAACTGGTGTGTAAAACTTAACAGACATCAAGAGCTGTTAAGGCTTTCATTGATGTATTTATAACATAGTTTGGTTACTGCATACCTATTCATTTTCCTAAACTTTGATTTTTCAGCTACTTACTGGCTTGTAAATTGTAAGGACTTCCGAATCATTCCAAAATACAGTAAAATCATCAAAAACGTAATCTCCACCCCCCACGACACCCTCTGCTCTCTAAAGAGCACTCGTTAGGCTCTCTCCTCAGTACATCAGCCTCTTCAGATTCCACCAGCACGTCACACTCTTGCCTCATCTTGCTACCAGTTGATGTTGTCTTCATTCTCTTTCCTCTGTCCTCTCTTGATATTTGAATCCTAGCTCAGAATCACGCACTCATTTTCCTGTTGAGGAAAAAAAGGCCCAGAGGCAGTCTTACACTCATTAAAGTAATGACTAGCTAGACCATGTCAGAGTTGGCATTTGAATGGTGTCTGCTAGCTTTAAACTCCTCTGTGGCTAAGGGTGTAAAACCTATCTGAGCTTCCAGGTCTTGCTATTCTAAGTGTGATTCCAGGATGGCATATCAGGGACACCACTCCACATCATCTGGAAGCTTGTTGAAAGAATTTCAGGCCACGACTTTGACTCATAGAACCAGATTCCATATTTAAATAGATCCCAAGATATCGGTGCTCAACTCACCGTCATTGAGTCAAGGAGGACTCACGGCAACCCTGTTGGACAGAGTAGAACTACCCCAGTGAGTTTCCAAGATTGTAACTCTACGGAAGTAGAAAGCCTCCTCATTCTCCCTTGGAGTGGACGATGGAACTGCTGACCTTGCAGTTAGCAGCCTCACAAAGGGATGAACCATCCTGCCCAAGGCAGCCAAGAAGGAAGGAAGCAGAGAGCTGACTCTGAGGCAAGTCCTTTGAAAGTAGCAAGAGTTAGGCAAGAAAAGTCAACAAAACCCAAGGGCAGAAGCAGTTCATGCGAGGTTGGATGCTGGGTAGAGCAGGAATGGGTGGGAGCAAGAGCAGCTGAATGGAAGGGAGATACAGAGTCCTTGGACAGTAGAAAGGAGGTCAACTTTAGAAAGGTAGATCTAAAACCTTAGCAGGGCTTGTGGAAACCCATGGTCAGGCTTCTCCCTGCCACTTGACCCCACCCAAATTTCTGACTCACTGAGTCTGGGATGAGATCCAAGAATTTCTATTTTTCACAAATTCTCAAGTGATGTTGCTAGTCTGAGGGCCATACTTTGACAAATCCTGCTTAAAAGAGTCATTGTTGTGACCATTTTAGTAAGGATAAGACTGCCTACTAGTGCCAGTTTAAAAATGGTAGAGTTCTTTGAGAGATGTAATCACTTACAATTTATCAGTATAAGAGTGCACACACAACTTTAAGTGTATGTCTTATTTTGTCAACTTGGGTACAACGTTTCTTTAGGTTAAAGTCATGGCTAACTATGAGCTGTGAGAAGATTTTCTACCCATTGTTCCTGAAGAGAACAAACTACTGATGGAAGACGAAGACTTAGGAAGCTCCTCATTGAAAACCTTCTGTTACAGTGTGCGCGACCAAAATCAACCCCAGAATTGTGGGCGGAACCGCCTCTGTTTCCGGTGAGTGGCCGTGGCAGACAACTTTGCACAGCACATACCCCACGCAGAGACACCTGTGTGGAGGCTCCATCATTGGGAACCAGTGGATCTTAACAGCTGCTCATTGTTTTGACAAGTGAGTGCCATTCCTTTTATATTAACTCACCGTGCTATTGGTATGAAATCTACTGCTAGTAATTATCTTTTAATTTCTCCTTTTCACGACTTCTTTGAAGCCCCTGGTGTGTGTGAATGTGTGGGTAATATGCATATATATTCCTAGTTTATATAGAGATAGATTTTGATTATATATATAAATTTATATCCAGACTTGTGTGTGTAAAAGATTATCATGCTAATAAACAATTATGTATGTATGTAAGTTATAAGTATTGCTACAAAACCTTTATTAAACAAATATGGAAAAGTACGAACCCATTGTTTCTCAACGCATGCTCCATCTCGCTCTATGTGATTCTGCTAGCAGTATTTTCATCTCTCTACTCCTTTTGAGCAGAATTCTGTGTTGTTTGATTTACACGATATCAAATCAGTACTTTTAACATCATTGTGGGACTGATATTATGCTTCTCTTAACAAAGAAGTCTGAAGGGGAAACAATTTCTCAGCACAAGTTTACTAGTCTTTTCCTCACCAATGAAATTTTAAATTTTCTTTAAACATCTTTATAAAAAACCCTGGTGACTGACCTATGTCACTTAGAAAGTCTATCCAGATTAACCCTTTGGGATCCCAAAACACAGTCTGACTTGACCTTTCTGTCCTGAATTTAACTGGCCTGATAGACACCCTAGGAAGCCACCTTTGATTGGTTCTTACTCTCTGCACTCAGATTGACTGGCCAATCCAAACCTTGTCTTCACTTATAATTCTATTCCATAAAATGGGCTTCATTAACTTTAATCTTGCTTAAAGACTGGAAGAAAGATCAGCTCTATGGACTACCTAAATTTGGTGCAATGCTTTTTTTTTTAAGTTTTTAAATTTAATTTTGAGTATTCATGTTTTTGAAGCTACTCTGAGACAAAGGCATTTGTCATTTTTTGGAATTCATGCATGTATGCATGAAATAGAATGATAATCGCAGTACTTATTCTACTTACTCTCATGTGTGTCTGGGTATGTGTGTGGGTTTCTCAGACAAACCAAAGTTTGTTCTAGAAAGCAGAAAACCACAGTTCCCTGGTAGCAAATTGAGATTGGCAGACAAGATACGAGGGCACTACATATATATGCAGAGATATCTACACCATCCATACTTATATATATACATATTCTAGAATGAAAGAGCTCATTATACATTCTCAAATTGTATTTCCTATTTGCATCTATTCCAATACCACTCAAACAAAAATGCTTCAGACCGGGTGAGTGTGTACTTTAGGGAATCTTGAGAAAGTTGACCAAAGGTCGTTTTCTGCTCTAGCACCTTCTGAGTTGCATCTAGACAGCATTTCTTCTTTTCTCTCCATATCCCATCGCGATGCAGTCATCAAGCTGAACGATCAGTTTAGGTCACTAGTCCCTCGTTACTGTCACAATGAAACATCGAGCGTCCATGGAAGTCCCTTAGGGTCATGGCTCGTCGATGGATGGCAGTGTTCGGATGGAACCCAGGCTCTTTGGACGTGGGTCTGAGGGTGAAGAGAATGCTCACCTTTCATGTGAGATGAAGACTTGTGTCGTGTCTTCGACAAAGAAGGAACATAGGACTGAAAAAAAGTCTCAGCCTGAAATGACTTCTTTCTCCTAACATCCTATATAATTGGCAGAAAATATTAGCTAGTGGGCAATAGACCATTAACTAGGTATATAGCTCAAACTGTTTGACAATTATGTTGGTACAGAAAATATCTTTTCCTCTGTTTTGTCCTTAGGTTAGATTCACCTAAAATGTTGCGGGTCTATAGTGGCATTTTAAATCAAACCGAAATAAAGGAGGATACACCTTTCTTTGGGGTTCAACAAATAATATTTCATGACAAATACAAAACAGCAGAAAGTGGGTATGATATTGCCTTGTTGAAACTTGAAACGACAATGAATTATACTGGTATGTTGAATTTTAATAGGAAAACTTATGTACAATGGTGACCTAATATAACATTTAACGCTATCAGATTTATATTCTAACTTTACCATTATCTCTACATTCTCATGAAAGAGAGAGGGTCTAGAGAGCTAGTTTTCCAATAGGTTATTCCTGAACTTCTTTTCTGATTATTGAATCTTACTATAAGGCTGTGGATGAAGAAAGAATGATTTTATCTAAAATGTTCAGAGACATAGAGTAACGTAATTTCTTAATATAGTGGAATGTGAAACATGGTTCCCTCTAATTTTTCTCTCTTAGATATGAGAGAACGAAAAGTCAGAATGGTTGAGCAACTCATTCAGGGTCCCAGACTAGTGAGGGTGATGAAGCTGGTGAAGGCAGGTGTGCCTTATCTCTTTCCTGTAGTAGCTTTGTGATGGACTATACATTATGGAACTGCATGACACATTTAAAAAAAGGAACCTAATACTGAAACCACTAAGAATGTAAGGCGGGAAGCCAGTGGGAATATAAGTAAAAGAAGATAGATTTTGCTTCTGATAAACTAAACTCCGATTTTTAAAATTTAGATGATCAACGACCTATATGCCTACCTTCAAAGAGTGACAGAAATGTGGTATACACTGATTGCTGGGTGACTGGATGGGGTTACAGAAAATTAAGAGGTAAAAATTATCTTTCTGAGTATGATTTGTCCTAAAGATAAAGAACACTGTCCAACCACAATGTGTTCTGTGGTCATAAAACATACCGTTAAGGTGTCAGTAAAACAACATTATTCGATTGCAAGAAAGGTATTGCTGGACATGAAGGAGTAATAATTCCCCAAGTGAGGATGACCATGTGTCTACTTGATTTTGTTATTGTTGTTGCTGTGAGGTGCTGTCAACCGAGTTTGGACTCACAGCAGTCGTCTCTAGACCAGAGCAAAGCACTGCCCTGCATTACTTTCGACGTCGCTATTCTCTTCGAACTCGTTGTTGCCGTCAGCGTCAATCCATTGCGTTGCTTCTACTTTACCAAGCAGGCTGTCCTTTCCCAGGGACACTATGACTACATGTCCAAAAGACACAAGAGGCCCCACCATCCTCCCTTCTAAGGGACCTTCGGGTCATACCTTTTCCAAGGCATATTTGTTTGTCATTCTGGCGTTCATGTTACTTTCAGTATTCTTTACCAGCATTATAGTTCAAATGCATCTCTTCTCTGTCTTCCTTATTCAACGTCTAACTTTTACACACAGACAAGGCAAAAGGAAGATACTGTGCTTGGGGTCGGGTCTACCTCAGTCCTCAAAATCACATCATTGTGCTTCAACGGGTTAAAGAGGTCTAGTACAGTAGGTTTACCAAATCAAAGCATATTTTGCTTTTGTTCAACATGTGATTGGCATATAATTCACACATCATACAATTCAATCATAAAATTGCATTAAAAGGAGTCACACAATCATCACCCCAATCATTTTAGAACATTTTCTTCATTCTTATACTCATTATAACTTCCCTGTTTCCTCTATCTCCCCTGCCACACGCCCAAGGAACCAGTAACCCAGTTACTGTCTCTACAGATTTACTGTTCCTGGATTTCATATACAGGAAACCATTTCAAAGTCTAACAAGAATAAAGAAAACATCAATGCGTACTTTGATTTCTTGACTGCTGCTTCCATGGCATTGATGGTGGATCCAAATAAGATGAACTCCTTGACCACTTCACCCTGGTCTCTGTTTGTCATGGACAGTTTGTGAGGACGTCCGTTGTCTTTCCATGGAGTTATGATCCATAGTCAATCAGTTAATCGGCTGAAATCCTTGATCATTCCCAGCATGTGCTTCGAGTGCTTTCAGCAAGCAAGGAGGTTTCATCTGCATATTGCAGGTTATTAAAAAAACTTCTTCCATGCTTACCTGGCAGGGGAGATACCAGGATCACGAAGGTGGTTTTCCCAGGGCGAGGCTTATCCATTGCACTGCGGATGTGCTGACCCCTGCGATTTCCCCAAATGTGGGAAACTCGACTGCCTCATTTGTGGTAGTGGGGGGCTGCGTTCATGCTAGCCGCTGATTAAAAATAAATAAACAAAATTAAAATTAAAATGCTTCTTCCAATCCTGATACTGCATTCTTCTTCGTATAATCCAGTTTCTCTGATTATTTGTTCAGCATTCAGATTGAGTAAGTGTGGGGAGAGGACACAATGGTCACCTTTCCTGATGTTACAGCACACGCTATTCCCGTGTTCTGTTCACACAACTGCCTCTCAATCCATGTGCAGGTTCCATATGAGCACAACAAAGTGTTCGGGAATTCCTACTCTTCTCAAGACTATCCGTAGTTGGTTATGATTCACATAGCCGAGTGCCTCTGCATAGTTAATAAAACACACGGGACCATCTTTCTGGCTTTCTCTGCTTTTAGCCAAGCACCATCTGACGTCAACAATGATATCCCTTGTTCCGTGTCTTCTGGATCCATCCAGAACCTCTGGCAGCTCCCTGTCAATGTACTCCTGCGGCTATTTTTGAATGATCTTTATAAAATTTTACTTGCATGTGATATCAATGATATTGTTTTATGATTTGTGCTTTTTCGTGAGTCATCTATTTTTTTTTGAATGGGTACAAATAGGGGTCTCTTCTAGTCAGTTGACCAGGTAGCGATCTTCTAGACTTTTTGACATAGGTGAATGAGTGTTCCCAGTGGCTCATCAGCTAGTTAAAACATTGTAATTGGCAATCTGTCACTTCCTACAGCCTTGGTTTGCACTCAGACCTTCAGGTTGGCTTGGACCTCTTCCTTCACAACCATTGCTTCTTACCCATATGCTACCTCTTGAAATGACTGAATGTCAACTACTTATTTTGGGCACAATGACTGTGTGTTGTTTCCATTGTCTTTTGATTCCTCCTCCAGCAGTCAATATTTTGCACGTAGAATCTTTGCACATATTGCACCTCAGGGCTTGACTTTTTCCTTCAGTTCTTTCATCTTAAGATATGCTGAGTGTATTCTTCCTTTTTGGATTTTTTAACCCCAGGTCTTTGCATATTTCATTATAATTCTTTACTTTATCTTCCTGAGTTGCCCTTTAACATTTTCTGTTTAGGTCTCTTACTTTATCATTTATTCTATTTGTTTTTAGCTACCTTATCAGCAAGTTTTAGTCTCTTCTAATATGCATTTTAATCTTTTCTTTTTATCCATTCTTAATGGCCTAAAATTCATGTATGATATTTTTTGTTATCCCATAGCTGTTAGGTGTTCAGTGAGTTAAATATATTCTTGAAATATTCTCAAAATTCTTGTGAGATACACCGAAGGTCCTATTGAGTTGTTCTTATGGGCTTGTTTTCATTTTCTTCAGCTCAGACCTGAACTTTCATATGAGAAATTGGTGGTCTCTTCCACAGCTGTCCGTTGATCTCATTTTTGCTGCTAATATTGAACTTCTCATTGTCTCTTCTCACAGCTGTACTCAATTTGATTTCTGTGTATTTCATGCATATAATCACCATTTCTATTACTGGGGGGTTGGGTGGGGGAAGGGATTTGTGATGAAGAAATTGTTCATATTGCAAAATTCCATCATGAGATCTCCAGATTCTTTTTACCACCAAGCCCATATTTTCCAAATACCCCTTCTTTGGCTTTGTCTCCAAGTTTTGCATTCCAACCACCAATAATTATCCATGCATCTTGATTGCATGTTTGATCAATTTCAGACTGAAAAATGTTGGTAATTAGAAGAAATATTATGCTATCACAGACAGCGTTGTACTTCAATATAGATCATGAAATGTCCTTTTTGACTGTGGATCTGGCACTATTCCTCTTGAATTTGTCATTACTGGTATAGTAAACCGTATGATTGTCTATTTCAAAATGGACAATACACGTCTGTTTCAACACACTAATGCATTTGATATCAATCTTTATGTTAGTGACATATTTTTATAAGTAAAAAATCACCTCATTTTATTGACTTATAGTTTTCTTAGATTCATAGTTCATACACTCAGTTATTAATGGATGCTTTTAGATGTTTCTAGTTTTGAGTCGGCTCTTCCGCGGTCATATTTGGAGCACCTTCTGACCTGGGGAGCCCATCTTCTGGTGCTATGTCTGACAATGTTCCGCTGGTGCTCAGGAGGTTGTCCAAATCTGACAATGTTGAAGTGTGAAGCATAAGTGGCTAGTTTCTCTGAAACAGACAGCCTATTGCTTCTTTGTAGTTTGTTCTTAGTTAGTCTGGGAGTTCTGTTGAAACCTAGTCACATTGGGTGACCCTGCTGGGACTTGTAATACCTGTGACAGAACTGCCAGCATTACAACATGCAAGCCATCCTAATACAACAAAGTGACCAATAATTAGAAACCTTAGCGATGCTTCTACATCCCTTTAAGACCAAAAACCCCAACCCGCTGCTGTTGAGTGGACCTCACTCCCCATGACCTTCCAGGGCAGAGTCGAACTGAACCACGGGGCTTCTGAGGCCGTCCGTCTCTATGGGGGACATTGCTCACCTGTCTCGGAAGCAATGGCCTGCTTTCCAATAAGCAGCTGAGAACATTGAACATTTGCAAGGTATTTTAAGGAAGTTTAATATGAGACTTTAAATGAAAAGTTTAATAACTCTTCATAAATGCCCTGGTTATTAGTCAATTGTGTTTTTTTCTGGGAAGTCATTCCAATTTGAGCTAAAATTAGTTTTCTCATTTAATTGATACTAACAAAATGATATGCCTGATAGTGGGAATAATGTCTCCTTTGTACTCTGTAATTATCCTAAAAGTTCTGTGAGGTGTTTCTCTCTCTAGGTTTGAAATAGTTATTATTTATAAGTCTATGTAAATATATGTGAGTGTATAAACTAGATGATTTCATTAATAAAATGAAAATATGTATGAACATACCATTTTTTTTCAGACCAAATACAGAATACTCTCCAGAAAGTCAAAGTTCCCTTGGTAACAAATGAAAAATGCCAGAAAAGCTACCAACGGCACAAAATAACCAATAAGATGCTCTGTGCTGGCTATGAAGAAGGAGGGAGAGATGCCTGTAAGGTAATGGAGTGTTGTCAACCAATTGGACATCTTCAAATCACAATGTTTGGTACATTTAAAAACCAGTCTTCTGCTAACAAGCAAAGGACACAGCGTATGTTGTCTTACTTCCTTAGATCTAGAGTAGATCTTGAATCCATCCGTGGGTTCTAACCATGGCAACCCCGGATGCGTCAGTGTAGACTGTGTTCTAGTGGGTTTTCAATGGGCAACTTTTCAGAAGGTGATGACCAGGCCTTTCTTCGTAGGTGCCTTTGGGTGGGCCTGAACCTCCAAATTTCTGGTTAGCAGCTGAGAGCATCAGCATTTATCCAACCCAGAGCTTCCTGAAGTGAATAGGCTGGGTGAAAAGCAATCAGTCAAGTTCTTTGAAGCTGCTTAAAAGGCCAGGATGGAATTTTATTCAGAATCGCTCTGATCAATATGCATTTAGAATGAGAAGTATGTGAACTGACCTGTGACCCTTTTGTTTTTTCATAGGGAGATTCTGGGGGTCCCCTGTCCTGTAAATACAAGGAGGTCTGGTATTTGGCGGGTATCACAAGCTGGGGGAAGGGTGTGCTCAAAGGGGGCGGCCGGGCGTTTACACCAACGTGATTGAGTATGTAGACTGGATCTTAGAGAAAACGAAAGCCATGTGAGCAGCTCCCAGAGGCCTGGGCTGCATGAAGACCGTGGCTTGATTTCGCTCAACGAGGAGGAAGCGTGCCCGCGTTCTGTTTCACAGACAACATCATCAACAGGACAGTCCCAAATCAGGAGGGACTTGACATTTGTGAGGCACGTTAGAATGAAAGAAAGCTGTCGTTTTCAAAATTCCCATTCTGTGTTAATCGGAGTTTGTTTTCAGAATCTAAACTCCCGCTTTTTTATTATACTTTGAATGAGCCAAGTAAACAGCACATAATCATAGGAGATTATGTATTTGAAGTTAACATATAACCAGCTATATCAGAAAATAATCGAATTGCGGTGGCAGAGGCAGACTTACTTTTTTAATTCGCACAATAAAAAGATTTGTTAAATAGAACCGGAAGGAGAAGTGGACAAAACCACTCATCAGCAGTTTCCATGAAGCTCTGCGGGGGACCACATATACACATTTTTTTCTGAAAACAAAGGATTTCCAGCAGTTCTCGACCTTTTGATTTTTAGTATTTTTAAAAAGTTATTTTGGTAAAACACACACTAAGTGTAGATGTGGCCTCACAACTTGATTATAGCAAAGAATTACAAGCAACCACTCACACTGGAGTCAGCCCTTAGATGCACTTGTCCAGAAAATGATTCCCACACAAAGACTAGATTTATGTAAAGTGGTTTGGGTGGGGGAGCTTGATGGCGATAAGGGGAGTCAATCAAAGGCCTGAAAAGCAAGCTGCTACTGTGCGGGTGGTTCACAGACCTAAAGAGGAGAATTGTGTTGGATGAAAATCAAGAAGAAGTCTGTCCAAACTTCTTGGGGGCTAAAAACAATTTGGGGGGAAAATGCATGGGTAGGGTAGATTCTGTAGCATTTTCAAAATAATTCCCTATGCTCTCAGTACTGAGATGTGAACATTTATTAGTTATTATTTCTGATTATATTGTAATAACATGATATTTGGATTCTCTCCACAATCCTCTACACGATACAATGTAGCAACTATGAAAATGCTTTCGTATGCATGAGCTCGTGATGTAGTGACCTCACATTGAGCTTTGGGGAGATATCGGGGAGCAAACAGATGCTTCTCTACCTTCACGAAGTTCCTGGGAGGTGTTCATGGAAAACCAAAATAAAACAATCACACAAAAGATAGCATCTCAAATGGTGGTCACGGGGCTCTATAGGATCTGGTGGGAAAGGACGGGAAGAACATTTGGGGCAGGATCAACGATTAGGAGAAAAAGGAGTTTGTCTTTGGAAAGATGAAACAGGAACACAAACACAAAACAAACACACATCCGAAACAGCAACACCAGATTTTAAACCAACTGGAAGCCGCCACAGGGACCTCGAATCAGTCGCTGGAAGTCACAACGGGCTCGCTGGCAGTGCGTGCTACATATATCTTTATGGCAATGTAAAAAATAAAAATGGCCATTTCACAAGGAAAAAGGTCTTTTTAAAAAAAGATCAGTTTGATTTTAAATACTCAAAGAAATGGCGGCTGCCTAACAGCAATAAGGCCCTCCTCACTCTGTTTACTAGGGCTCCTTAGGCACCAATTGGGCTGGTGTTACCACAGACTTGAAGGAATGGGGTTGGGGAATAGGAATCACACGTGACTAAGTAGCTTCAGAAATATTCCTACAAGTTACAAAGACATGCTTATTTTATAAAACTATTGCTTATAAATTTTCTCACCAAATCTTCAACTGATTAAATTATACTTTAACTTTAAAATAATACAATCAAATGAAATAAAGGAAAGATTCAAAAATAGTTATCATTGGTTTAGTTGTGATATTCTGAAATGGGAAACAAATACTGACTTCCTACCCTTAAAAATGCCCTTTATCAGGGAAAATGAGAAGAATTAGCTGTAAAGACCTTTCTGAGATGAATATACATAATTTTTGTTGTTATTGTTTTTAAATCATTTTATTGGGGGCTCTTACAGTTCTTATCACAATCCATCCATCGTATCAAGCACTTTTGTACATTTGTTTCCATCATTGTTTCAAAATATTTTCTTTCTACTTGAGCCCTTGGTATCAACTCATTTTTTTCTTTCCCTCCCTCTTCCACCCTCCCTCCCTCATGAACCCTTGATAATTTATAAATTATTATTATTTTCATGTCTTACATTGTCCACTGTCTCCCTTCACTCACTTTTCTGTTGTTTTCTGGCTAGGGGGAGGTGTGTTGGTGATGGTTACATGTCGATCATTGTGATGCGTTCCCCCTCTCTTCCTCTACCTTCCCCGTACTCTCCTGGTAACACTATGCTCATTATTAATCCTGAGGGGTTCATCTGTCCTGGATTCCCTGTGTTGCGAGCTCTTCTCTGTCCTAGTGTACATCCTCTGGTCTAGCTGGATTTGCAAGGTAGAATATGGATCATGATGGGGTGGGGGGTGGTGGGAAGCATTAAGGAAATAGAGGAAAGTTGTATGTTTTGTTGGTGCTATACTGCACCCTTATTGGCTCATCTCCTCCTCTGTAAGAGGATGTCCAATTCTTTACAGATGGCTTTGGGATTCCACTCCATCCTCCCTCTCATTCACATCGATATAATTTTTTGTTCTGGGTCTTTGATACCTGATACCTGATCCCATCGACACCTCATGATT